ATACCTAATGACAACAGGTAAACGGCTTGACAATGGTGTGCCACGATTAAAACTGGAAGCTGATAAATGTACAAGAAAGGCAAACAAAGATTGATTCAGTATCTTACTTACCGCTTAATATGTGACGTTTTATAAAATTTACATTGAACATTAAGTCGACTTTTTGTAAGGTTTCCAACACTATCAAGTCGTAGTCTTTGTCACTAATACTATCCTGTAGCACATCATAGTCAGTCATCCTATGACGCATGTAAAATTAAAACAACGACATTCTTTACTAAGATTTTATCAAAACCGGTATAGGAAAAAAAAGAAGGGGGGGGGGGGGGGGGAGTGGGGGGGTTAGGGAGGAGGTTTGGGGTTGAGGGGTTAATTAATACCATATCAATAACTGGGACATGCATTTGAAAGCGAGCAAACCCAGATGTTACTGGCATGATTTAGTAAAAAGTGGCATATATCCAGGATGCTTCTTGATAATAAGCATTTCTATATAACTCATTGAAATTCCATATTCTAATTTCCCGAAATACAAAAGTAATTCAACTAAATTAGTACTAGAGTAAAATGTCCTGATACAAGAGTAAAATGTCCTGATACAAGAGTAAAATGTCCTGATACTAGAGTAAAATGTCCTGATACAAGAGTAAAATGTCCTGATACTAGAGTAAAATGTCCTGATACTAGAGTAAAATGTCCTGATACTGGAATACGATGTCCTGATACAAGAGTAAAATGTCCTAATACTACAGTAAAATGTCCTGATACAAGAGTAAAATGTCCTGATACAAGAGTAAAATGTCCTGATACTGGAGTAAAATGTCCTAATACAAGAGTAAAATGTCCTGATATAGAGTAAAATGTCCTGTAAGAATAAAATGTCCTGATACAAGAGTAAAATGTCCTGATACTAGAGTAAAATGTCCTGATACAAGAGTAAAATGTCCTGATACAAGAGTAAAATGTCTTGATACTGGAGTAAAATGTCCTAATACTGGAATAAGATGTCCTGATACAAGAGTAAAATGTCCTTATACAAGAGTAAAATGTCCTGATACTGGAATAAGATGTCCTGATACAAGAGTAAAATGTCCTGATACTGGAATAAGATGTCCTGATACTGGAGTAAAATGTCCTGATACTAGAGTAAAATGTCCTGATACTAGAGTAAAATGTCCTGATACTAGAGTAAAATGTCCTGATACTGGAGTAAAATGTCCTGATACTACAGTAAAATGTCCTGATACAAGAGTAAAATGTCCTGATACTGGAGTAAAATGTCCTGATACTAGAGTAAAATGTCCTGATACAAGAGTAAAATGTCCTGATACTGGAGTAAAATGTCCTAATACTAGAGTAAAATATCCTGATACTGGAGTAAAATGTCCTGATACAAGAGTAAAATGTCCTGATACAAGAGTAAAATGTCCTAATAATACAGTAAAATGTCCTGATACAAGAGTAAAATGTCCTGATACTGGAGTAAAATGTCCTGATACAAGAGTAAAATGTCCTGATACTGGAGTAAAATGTCCTGATACTAGAGTAAAATGTCCTGATACTGGAGTAAAATGTCCTGATACAAGAGTAAAATGTCCTGATACAAGAGTAAAATGTCCTAATACAAGAGTAAAATGTCCTGATACAAGAGTAAAATGTCCTGATACAAGAGTAAAATGTCCTGATACTGGAATAAGATGTCCTGATACAAGAGTAAAATGTCCTTATACAAGAGTAAAATGTCCTGATACAAGAGTAAAATGTCCTGATACTGGAATAAGATGTCCTGATACTGGAGTAAAATGTCCTGATACTAGAGTAAAATGTCCTGATACAAGATACTACAGTAAAATGTCCTGATACTGGAGTAAAATGTCCTTATACAAGAGTAAAATGTCCTTATACAAGAGTAAAATGTCCTGATACTAGAGTAAAATGTCCTGATACTGGAGTAAAATGTCCTGATACTAGAGTAAAATGTCCTGATACAAGAGTAAAATGTCCTGATACAAGAGTAAAATGTCCTAATACAAGAGTAAAATGTCCTGATACTGGAGTAAAATGTCCTGATACAAGAGTAAAATGTCCTGATACAACAGTAAAATGTCCTGATACAACAGTAAAATGTCCTAATACTACAGTAAAATGTCCTGATACTGGAGTAAAATGTCCTTATACAAGAGTAAAATGTCCTTATACAAGAGTAAAATGTCCTGATACTGGAATAAGATGTCCTGATACTGGAGTAAAATGTCCTGATACTAGAGTAAAATGTCCTGATACAAGAGTAAAATGTCCTGATACTGGAATAAGATGTCTTGATACTGGAGTAAAATGTCCTGATACAAGAGTAAAATGTCCTGATACAATAGTAGAATGTCCTGATGCAAGAGTAAAATGTCCTGATACAGGAGTAAAATGTCCTGATACAAGAGTAAAATGTCCTGATACAATAGTAGAATGTCCTGATACTGGAGTAAAATGTCCTAGTACTGGAGTAAAATGTCCTGATACAAGAGTAAAATGTCCTTATACAAGAGTAAAATGTCCTGATACTGGAGTAAAATGTCCTAATTCTTGGGTATAATGTCCTGATACTATGATAAAACCGATAGTTTTACAATGATAATAATGAACAAACGTAACGTTCCGCACAATGGAAGACATATATAGATTTTAGTGAAAAAACTTGACACGTATATGTGGTGACTATTTTTGTAAACACTAACCTCTCTAGGGAACAAGTATCATGAGATGTTTTTGTTTCTCATTTCTTATCTGTCAGTTATAGTCAGCTGTTTATTGTCTAGAAGAACTATTTTGTGTTTACGTCTAGATTTAAAAGATAATTGCCGATTTCCACTTACCATGTGGTTGTCGATTTTCTAGACATTCCTATATCGGTAAATCATCCCAAAAGGAATCCGCACAAGTCAGTATTGATTTTCTTATTTTCCTATATAAACTACTTTATAGCTTGAAATGTGCATGTCTTTTTATGCTCCCCAAAGAGAGAGAGCATATAGTTGCTGCTTTTACCGTCCATCCGTCCATTTGTCCGACCGTAACAATTTTTCTCGGAAGCATAACACAAAATCTATCAGAAGTATGTATATGAAACTTCATATGTAGATAGATCTCAACAAGGAGAAGTGCAGTGCACCAGAACCATTACTCTCTTTCACATAATTTAGGAGTCATTGCCCTTGTTATTTCCCATACTTAAATTTTGTCCGGAGCATTACACTATAAGTATCAGCTTGAGACTTCATAGGTAGATAGATCTTTACGAGAAGGAGGGCAGTGCACAAGAAACATAACTCTCTTATTCCCCGTTATAATTTTTCTTACTTAAATTTTGTTCCATTTTGGGAGCAAAACCCGACCCCGACGGCCCATGTTGAGGTTCTGTAAAGCATCCATCGTCAACAGTTGTGGACCGACATCGATGTTTCTTAAATAATACATGGGGTAGGACAGCAAAGCAAGACCATCAACGTGTTAATTAGTTCACGGAATCCCAGTGCACGGTATCCGAATCTCATACCTCTATTCAATCTACGATTCAATACTCCCGACATTATTTCTCCGGAAGTTGAGAAACGGACCGGTCTGTACTGACGTGGCTGTGACACTTCACCCTAATTGCTGTGGATGGCATAATATTGGACCTTCACGTACGATATCCAGCGAGTTAGCCACCAGCTACTACTAGGGGACCTTAAATTGACAGATACCAAGTAAATATAGCAGGTACATAAAGTGGACAACCATTAATAATGCTATCTCCTGTCCAATTCTTTCGTCACTGTTTTAGACATATAAATATGTTTAAAATGATACTTAACTGTTCAAGTACCTAATTTACAGGTCTTCTGACACTCTCAGATAGAACTAGTTTAGATCAAAATTTTACTGACACTCATTAGCACTTTAAAACTCCATACTTTCATCTGCTTTTTAGGTTCTTGAATTATAGGTCTGGTTATCGATTTATACCAACACATATTCTGCTGTTAAAAGTCTCCCGTTCACCATTTGATTTCCTTGATACTATTGCAGTTGCATTTGCTCAAAGTTAGGAAATCTTTAACTTCGTCCAATGATGTCATACCATTGTCACCCATTTAACACCGTCCATTGATGGTCACCATTTAACACCGTCCATTGATTGTCACCCTGTTAACACCGTCCATTGATTGTCACCAAGTCAACACTGTCCATTGATGGTCACCCAGTTAACGCCGTCCATTGATAGTCACCCTGTTAACACCGTCCATTGATGGTCACCATTTAACACCGTCCATTGATAGTCACCCTGTTAACGCCATCCATTGATGGTCACCATTTAACACCGTCCATTGATGGTCACCCAGTTAACGCCGTCCATTGATGGTCACCCAGTTAACGCCGTCCATTGATGGTCACCCAGTTTACACCGTCCATTGATGGTCACCTAGTTAACGCCATCCATTGATGGTTACCCAGTTAACGCCGTCCATTGATGGTCACCATTTAACACCGTCCATTGATGGTCAACCTGTTAACACCGTCCATTGATGGTCACCATTTAACACCGTCCATTGATGGTTACCATTTAACACCGTTCATTGATGGTCACCATTTAACACCGTCCATTGATGGTCACCCAGTTAACGCCGTCCATTGATGATCACCTTGTTAACACCGTCCATTGATGATCACCCAGTTAACGCCGTCCATTGATGGTCAACCTGTTAACACCGTCCATTGATGGTCACCCTGTTAACACCGTCCATTGATGGTCACCCAGTTAACGCCGTCCATTGATGATCACCCTGTTAACACCGTCCAGTGATGGTCGCCCGGTTAACGCCGTCCATTAATGGTCACCCATTTAACGCCGTCCATTGATGGTCACCCAGTTTACACCGTTCATTGATGGTAACCCTGTTAACACTGTCCATTGATGGTCACCCATATATGTTGTGTAACCAAATAAAAAACAAAGAGTATGCGGCTGTAGTAAGCGTATAATGGCTTGCTTTTATTTGTCTATTACGTTGTACAATTCAATACCTGCCAAGACATGGGATAAAACATCCAATCACGAACACAAATTGGGTCTGAGGTAAAATAAGTAAATTTTTTGAAGACAAATACAAAATTTCCAAACAGACCTGAAACACTCACCTATTACACAATGTCACAGGGATGTCATTTATCACGTTCTTGCTGGGTCAAGATGCGTTCTATTATTCTATTATTCTATTATTCTATCAGCTTGGCTCTTTAGCACGTGTTTCGTTGGTTGGAACAACAAGACTGTTTTCCCTGGGAGTTGTCAACTATTTCAGTATCTAACTTTTATGATGAAGAGAGTGAAGTGAAGGCATTCATTTGACTAAAACTGATAGCTTTTCACTTTAACATTTTCTATACCAAACATTTTCATCAATCATGCTTCTTGTATATTAAACAGCCCTTAAAGTTTAAAAATGTTTGAACGTTATGACTTTTGCAGGTGAATCAAAGACAGCAATTTCATTCATTCGATAATTATTCACCCAAGTGTGCAGCAGATATGCCAGATTAAAGGAACATGCTGACGTTAGACGGACGACGGTTGGCTAGGCGGACGACGGACGCGTCACCATTGCGTAAGCACACAGAACACAAGCTGCTTGTTGACCTAACGACAACGAATTCGTGTTCATCCTGTTTTAACAGCTGTTCAACTCTTGTTCACTGGTACAAACACAAACAGTCATAAACGGACACGACAACCTTCTTGACTGAAAACTAAAAAGAAAAAAATGTTCAGTCAACATTCGTTACAAGAAAAATACGCTTGATACAGCGATTTGCTGGTCGAATTCTGCCCTTTGTACACACATGTCCAGTTGGTCGTTAATCAGTTGTCTTTGGCCTCCTGTTCCGAGACACGATATCCGAGGTAGGCCGCGCGGAACTTGTCGCTGGCCACAATGTAAGGGATGGGATAGAGACAGCTGCTAGCTTTGCAGGCTAGGGAAGGGATGATGATGGCTAGCGTGGATACGGATGTGCTGTCCGTAAGTGATGCCCACAAGCCAAGGATGGCGTACGGTCCGAATCCAATACTCATTATAAGCATGAACGCTAGGCACATCTGCAAAATGAAAAGAAGATATGTAAATTACCCAAGGGATAAAGGAACGCGGGGCGACATCTTTTTCAATAAAACAATGAAAATCGGTGAAGAAACTCTCTATGTTACAATGCACGTGGTCCTGTATCGAATGCTGCATTATTGTATTGCGTGACGATGTCTTCCGGGACAAACACGAAACGGGAAAGTCTCTGTGGCACCGAGTTTCACTACTCGTCATACCATTAGGTGGTCTTCATAGAGACACATCATCTTCCGATATTTTGATTAATTTCTGATAGCATTACTCCGACCTATCCCCTATTGTGCACTGGTGGGACCAGCTGGATAGACAGGTTCGACTTCGCCAGCCTCCCCCTGCTACTCTGACCCAACTGAGAGCAGCACTCTTGGAAGAATGAGCCAACATCCCAACGAGTACGATAAACTCACTCCTGAACTCCATGCATAGGAGAATCAGGGCTGTGGAGAGAGCGAATGGGGGACATACCCGTTACTGACAAGCCAGCTCCAACAATCAGTCCATTTCGATTTCAGATTACAGAGGTCTCTTTCAATTCCCTTAAATTACTCCTAAATCACTTACCACATACAAATTGTTGATTTTGCAGTTTGTTCTATATGGATTAATATACATTCTTACCTAAAGATATTTAACATTATACTCGACGTCTTGCCTAGAATCACATTCAGTTTACCCTGCGTTTCTTTAACCCTGGAGTATAGATAAAGCGACTGCAGTTTGTTATATTTCAAGCCAAATATTTTAAATTGGCGCATCGTTTAAGTGTTAGAGCAAATATGTATACATGTATATGACACACGAGTCTCTATTTGTCAAGGCCGATATGTAAACATGATACGTGAATTTACATATAAAGGCAGATAGGTAAAACAGTTCGTGTTTATTATATGTCAAGAAGGATATGTATATGTGAATACAAGCAGTCTGATGACTTTTTGTTCTATCACAGACAGCGTTTGAGTGAATAACGTTAAAACAAGGGTACCCTCCGCAATTTACTTATCCAAATCAGTAGCGTGTGTGGCCACCCCTGGCTTCAGTCGCTGTTCTTACTCTCCTTAACATTGACCCAATCAATGTGTTAATTGTCCTTTGAGGGATATTATTCCACTCCTGAATAAGGGCCTGCGTAGTTGAGCGACGTTATATGGGACGTTGACACGCATCCTCACCCTTCTGTCCAGATCGTCCCACAAATGCTCGACTGGGGGGGCGGGGGGGGGGGCAAATCTGGATTGTATAATGGCCAATCAAGAATTGGGACGTTATTTTGAGCCAGAAAGTCATGACAAAGCCTTGCAACATGGGGTCTCGCTGCAACGTAAGTCTACGTTGAGGGATAGGAGGAAGGGCGTGTGGTATCAAGACTTGATCCCGATGTGTTACTGCTGTAAGCTTGCCATGGATAACCACGAAAGGCGTTTTCACGTCTTGAGATATCCCTACCCATACCATAACAGACCCTCCCCCGAATCTGTGGCTTTCCGTTACGCAATCGTCAGAAAATCACAACGACGTCGATAGACACGTTTTCGTCAATCTGACCTGTAAAGCGTGAAGCCAGACTCGTCAGTGAACAGCACGCGTCTCCAATACCCTTGCATTATCAGAGCAATAACCCTGTTTTGTGTGTAACAGGAGCACGGGCACACTTGGCTGACCCGTCGTCGCCATTTTCAGGAAATATTTCTTGACCGTATTCATGCGCAAGGCGTGACTAATACACAAACCCGAATCCGGGTCTAAATACACAACAAACTCTACCCTTAATGACTTCGCTCTACAATCGAAAAGAAATGTTGTGTGGCTAACCTGTACTATTTCCATGCTCGATTTGTAGTGGTTTACCAGCACAGTTGGTGCAGGAGTACCCCAGATGCACGCTTTCTTGAAAAATCTTTGCCGATCGGGGTCACGGTCAGCTGAACTTTAATTGAAGAACATTTCCTCAGTGCACGGAGGTAGATTATCGTCAAATTCAATTTAATTTCGTCCACGTGTCTAAATGTTATATTACAAAAACTGAACTTGCGTTTCTTCTTTCCGCTAGTATATATTAATTATTGGTTGTGTTTTGTTCATTGTGCAAATTGCCATGGAGGAAAACGGATTTTAGTTTCATTGCGTCTACATATGTAAATATACAGCGTTTAGAAATAACAAGGTGATCTGACAGACCTTTGGCTGATGCCTGTCTGTGAACTGTACAACCCCCATGACTGTTGCCTGTCTGTGCACCCGTACCTTTGACTGCATCCTGACTATAAACAGTTCTTGTACGTACCAATGACTGTTTTCTGTGTATGTACCAATGGCTTCTACTACTCCGTGAACCTGTTCATGTACTTACCCATTACTGTTGCTACTCCGTGAACCTGTTCATGTACGTACCAATGGCTTCTACTACTCCGTGAACCTGTTCATGTACTTACCCATTACTGTTGCTACTCCGTGAACCTGTTCATGTACGTACCAATGGCTTCTACTACTCCGTGAACCTGTTCATGTACTTACCCATTACTGTTGCTACTCCGTGAACCTGTTCATGTACGTACCCATGACTGTTTTCTATCTGTATACCGTTCATGTACGTAACCATGGCTTTTAACTGACGCGTACCGTTCTTTATACGTACCCATGACTGTTTCCTGTCTGTGTACCTTTCTTGTACGTACCCATGACTGTTTCCTGTCTGTGTACCTTTCTTGTACGTACCCATGACTGTTTCCTGTCTGTGTACCTTTCTTGTACGTACCCATGACTGTTTCCTGTCTGTGTACCTTTCTTGTACGTATCCTTGACTGTTTCCTATCTGTGTACCGTTCTTGTACGTACCCTTGACTGTTTTCTGTCTGTGTACCTTTATTGTACGTACCCATGACTGTTTCCTATCTGTGTACCTTTATTGTACGCACCCATGTCTGTCAACGGACTGTGTACCTTTCTCGCACGTAACCATGATTGTTTCCTGTCTGTGTGCCTTTATTGTACGTACCCTTGACTGTTTTCTGTCTGTGTACCTTTATTGTACGTGCCCATGACTGTTTCCTGTCTGTGTACCTTTATTGTACGTACCCATGTCTGTTAACGGACTGTGTACCTTTCTCGCACGTAACCATGATTGTTTCCTGTCTGTGTGCCTTTATTGTACGTACCCTTGACTGTTTTCTGTCTGTGTACCTTTATTGTACGTGCCCATGACTGTTTCCTGTCTGTGTACCTTTATTGTACGTACCCATGTCTGTTAACGGACTGTGTACCTTTCTCGCACGTAACCATGATTGTTTCCTGTCTGTGTGCCTTTATTGTACGTACCCATGATTGTTTCCTGTCTGTGTGCCTTTATTGTACGTACCCTTGACTGTTTCCTGTCTGTGTACCTTTATTGTACGTACCCATGTCTGTTAACGGACTGTGTACCTTTCTCGCACGTAACCATGATTGTTTCCTGTCTGTGTGCCTTTATTGTACGTACCCTTGACTGTTTCCTGTCTGTGTGCCTTTATTGTACGTACCCTTGATTGTTTCCTGTCTGTGTGCCTTTATTGTACGTACCCTTGATTGTTTCCTGTCTTAGTACCTTTATTGTACGTACCCTTGACTGTTTCCTGTCTGTGTGCCTTTATTGTACGTACCCTTGACTGTTTCCTGTCTGTGTGCCTTTATTGTACGTACCCTTGATTGTTTCCTGTCTGTGTACCTTTATTGTACGTACCCTTGACTGTTTCCTGTCTGTGTACCTTTCTTGTACGTACCCTTGACTGTTTCCTGTCTGTGTACCTTTCTTGTACGTACCCTTGATTGTTTCCTGTCTGTGTACCTTTATTGTACGTACCCTTGACTGTTTCCTGTCTGTGTACCTTTATTGTACGTACCCTTGACTGTTTCCTGTCTGTGTGCCTTTATTGTACGTACCCTTGACTGTTTCCTGTCTGTGTACCTTTATTGTACGTACCCATGTCTGTTAACGGACTGTGTACCTTTCTCGCACGTAACCATGATTGTTTCCTGTGTGCCTTTATTGTACGTACCCTTGACTGTTTCCTGTCTGTGTACCTTTATTGTACGTACCCTTGATTGTTTCCTGTCTGTGTACCTTTATTGTACGTACCCATGTCTGTTAACGGACTGTGTACCTTTCTCGCACGTAACCATGATTGTTTCCTGTCTGTGTGCCTTTATTGTACGTACCCATGATTGTTTTCTGTCTGTGTACCTTTATTGTACGTACCCTTGACTGTTTCCTGTCTGTGTACCTTTATTTACGTACCCATGTCTGTTAACGGACTGTGTACCTTTTCGCACGTAACCATGATTGTTTCCTGTCTGTGTGCCTTTATTGTACGTACCCTTGACTGTTTCCTGTCTGTGTGCCTTTATTGTACGTACCCTTGATTGTTTCCTGTCTGTGTGCCTTTATTGTACGTACCCTTGATTGTTTCCTGTCTGTGTACCTTTATTGTACGTACCCTTGACTGTTTCCTGTCTGTGTGCCTTTATTGTACGTACCCTTGACTGTTTCCTGTCTGTGTGCCTTTATTGTACGTACCCTTGATTGTTTCCTGTCTGTGTACCTTTATTGTACGTACCCTTGACTGTTTCCTGTCTGTGTACCTTTCTTGTACGTACCCTTGACTGTTTCCTGTCTGTGTACCTTTCTTGTACGTACCCTTGATTGTTTCCTGTCTGTGTACCTTTATTGTACGTACCCTTGACTGTTTCCTGTCTGTGTACCTTTATTGTACGTACCCTTGACTGTTTCCTGTCTGTGTGCCTTTATTGTACGTACCCTTGACTGTTTCCTGTCTGTGTACCTTTATTGTACGTACCCATGTCTGTTAACGGACTGTGTACCTTTCTCGCACGTAACCATGATTGTTTCCTGTCTGTGTGCCTTTATTGTACGTACCCTTGACTGTTTCCTGTCTGTGTGCCTTTATTGTACGTACCCTTGATTGTTTCCTGTCTGTGTGCCTTTATTGTACGTACCCTTGATTGTTTCCTGTCTGTGTACCTTTATTGTACGTACCCTTGACTGTTTCCTGTCTGTGTGCCTTTATTGTACGTACCCTTGACTGTTTCCTGTCTGTGTGCCTTTATTGTACGTACCCTTGATTGTTTCCTGTCTGTGTACCTTTATTGTACGTACCCTTGACTGTTTCCTGTCTGTGTACCTTTCTTGTACGTACCCTTGACTGTTTCCTGTCTGTGTACCTTTCTTGTACGTACCCTTGACTGTTTCCTGTCTGTGTACCTTTCTTGTACGTACCCTTGATTGTTTCCTGTCTGTGTACCTTTATTGTACGTACCCTTGACTGTTTCCTGTCTGTGTACCTTTATTGTACGTACCCTTGACTGTTTCCTGTCTGTGTGCCTTTATTGTACGTACCCTTGACTGTTTCCTGTCTGTGTACCTTTATTGTACGTACCCATGTCTGTTAACGGACTGTGTACCTTTCTCGCACGTAACCATGATTGTTTCCTGTGTGCCTTTATTGTACGTACCCTTGACTGTTTCCTGTCTGTGTACCTTTATTGTACGTACCCATGTTTGATGCTATTGAAATGTTTTTGTACCTACCCTCACTGCTGACTACAGACGTTTAGTCATGAGATCCTTTGTACTTACCCATGCTTGCTGTCTCTCTGTAAACCAGTTCTTCGACTCCGGTTTAGGGTCAGCTTTGACTTGGACACTATCCCAGTAGACACGTGTCTGGTACAGCGCGTAGAAGGCCATGATAAAGAGAATGCATCCTGTAATTACCATCGCCTGTAGGTAGGTCACGTGATTTGCGTCCTTCTTCAGCCAGTTGATACCACAGGCGATTCCTGATGCTTCAACAGCGTAGCTTTGGACAAATGAGAAAGAGAGGGACGGTAGGTTTATATGACATTTAATATACAGACCTAAAATGTAAAGCATTCCGAACAACCATTCTTACTTACATACTTCTAAGCATACACTATTTAAAACATACTCTTTGACATGTTGACGTGTTTCCTTTTAAAACTGGTCTTACCTGTTCCATCCAAACAAAGGTAAAATGGCCCAGAGAGAGGCGTAAATCCAGCATAACATGGCGACCGTCCACCACGTGCCGCTCGAGATGGTGTCGTCTGAAAACGTAACACGTTCCTTTGATATCAACAAATACAATTGTAAGTAAGGAGTTCAATTAAGTTTTGTATTTCACCACCGAATAGTTGCTATGACGAGTCTACATCGTAATTGTTACGAAGTTATACAGAACGTGTCTAATGAAAGTGGACACCTGGAAGGACTTACAGAAGTCTTTTTTACAGCTGGCAAGGTAGTGCTCCATACAAACGATAGGGACGAAGGTTGATGCCGCCATTCCGCCCAGAAACGATTCCGTGCCGTACAGCTGACACCCAAGGTCACCAAATAGCCATCTACAAGTCATATATAAATGTTTCATTATGATTAAATATAACGAATGTCATTAAAACACCACAGAGTGTAATGTCATTAAAACACTACAGAGTGTAATGTCATTAAAACACCACAGAGTGTAATGTCATTAAAACATTACAGAGTGTAATGTCATTAAACACCACAGAGTATAATGTCATTAAACATTACAGAGTGTAATGTCATTAAAACACCACAGAGTGTAATGTCATTAAAACACCACAAAGTGTAATGTCATTATAACACCGCAGAGTGTAATGTCATTGAACATTACAGAGTATAATGTCATTAAAACACTACAGAGAATAATGTCATTAAACATAAAAGAGTGTAATGTCATTAAAACACTACAGAGAATAATGTCATTAAAACACCACTGAGTGTAATGTCATTAAACACTACAGAGTGTAATGTCTTTAAAACACTACAGAGTGTAATGTCATTAAACACTACAGAGTATAATGTCATTAAAACACTACAGAGAATAATGTCATTATAACACTAGAGTATAATTTCATTAAACACTAGAGAATAATGTCATTATAACACTAGAGTATAATGTCATTAAAACACTAGAGTATAATGTCATTAAAACATTACAGAGTGTAATGTCATTAAAACACTACAGAGAATAATGTCATTAAACATAAAGAGTGTAATGTCATTAAAACACTACAGAGTGTAATGTCATTAAACATTACAGAGTATAATGTCATTAAAACACTACAGAGAATAATGTTATTATAACACTAGAGTATAATGTCATTAAAACACTAGAGTATAATGTCATTAAAACATTACAGAGTGTAATGTCATTAAAACACTACAGAGAATAATGTCATTAAACATAAAGAGTGTAATGTCATTAAAACACTACAGAGAATAATGTCATTAAAACACTACAGAGTATAATGTCATTAAAACACTAGAGTATAATGTCATTAAAACACTAGAGTATAATATCATTAAAACATTACAGAGTGTAATGTCATTAAAACACCACAAAGTATTTTGTCATTAAACATTACAGAGTGTAATGTCATTAAACACTAAAGTATAATGTCATTATAACACTACAGAGGATAATGTCATTAAACATTACAGAGTGTAATGTCATTAAAACACCACAAGGTATTTTGTCATTAAACATTACAGAGTGTAATGTCATTAAACACCACAGAGTATAATGTCATTAAACATTACAGAGTGTAATGTCATTAAAACACCACAAAGTGTAATGTCATTATAACACCACAGAGTGTAATGTCATTGAACATTACAGAGTATTATGTCATTAAAACACTACAGAGAATAATGTCATTAAACATTACAGAGTGTAATGTCATTAAAACACTACAGAGAATAATGTCATTAAACATAAAAGAGTGTAATGTCATTAAAACACTACAGAGAATAATGTCATTAAAACACCACGGAGTGTAATGTCATTGAACATTACAGAGTATTATGTCATTAAAACACTACAGAGAATAATGTCATTAAACATTACAGAGTGTAATGTCATTAAAACACTACAGAGAATAATGTCATTAAACATAAAGAGTGTAATGTCATTAAAACACTACAGAGTGTAATGTCATTAAACATTACAGAGTATAATGTCATTAAACATTACAGAGTATAATGTCATTAAACACTAGAGTATAATGTCATTAAAACACTACAGAGTGTAATGTCATTAAAACACCACAGAGTGTAATGTCATTAAAACACTACAGAGAATAATGTCATTATAACACTAGAGTATAATGTCATTAAAACACTAGAGTATAATGTCATTAAAACATTACAGAGTGTAATGTCATTACAACACCACAAAGTATTTTGTCATTAAACATTACAGAGTGTAATGTCATTAAAACACTAAAGTATAATGTCATTATAACACTACAGAGGATAATGTCATTAAACATTACAGAGTGTAATGTCATTAAAACACTAGAGTATAATGTCATTAAAACACTATAGAGTATAATGGCATTAGAACATTACAGAGAATAATGTCATTAAACACTAGATTATAATGTCATTAAAACACTACAGAGTATAATGTCATTAAAACACTACAGAAAATAATGTCATTAAAACACTAGAGTACAATGCCATTAAAACATTACAGAGAATAATGTCATTAAAACACTACAGAGTATAATGTAATTAAAACACTACAGAGAATAATGTCATTAAAACACTACAGAAAATAATGTCATTAAAACACTACAGAGTATAATGTCATGAAAACACTACAGAGTATAATGTCATTAAACACTAGAGTATAATGTCATTAAAACACTACAGAGTATAATGTCATTAAAACACTACACAGAAAATAATGTCATTAAAACACTAGAGTACAATGTCATTAAAACACTAGAGTATAATGTCATTAAAACACTAGAGAATAATGTCATTAAAACACAACAGAGTATAATGTCATTACAACACTACAGAGAATAATGTCATTAAACACTAGAGTATAATGTCATTAAAACACTACAGAGTATAATGTCATGAAAACACTACAGAGTATAATGTCATTAAACACTAGAGTATAATGTCATTAAAACAATACAGAGTATAATGTCATTAAAACACTACACAGAAAATAATGTCATTAAAACACTAGAGAATAATTTCATTAAAACACAACAGAGTATAATGTCATTACAACACTACAGAGAATAATGTCATTAAACACTAGAGTATAATGTCATTAAAACACTACAGAGTATAATGTCATTAAAACACTACAGAGTATAATGTCATTAAAACACTACAGAGTATAATGTCATTACAACACTACAGAGTATAATGTCATTAAAACACTAGAGTATAATTATCATTAAAACACTATAGAGTATAATGGCATTAGAACATTACAGAGAATAATGTCATTAAACACTAGATTATAATGTCATTAAAACACTACAGAGTATAATGTCATTAAAACACTACAGAAAATAATGTCATTAAAACACTAGAGTACAATGTCATTAAAACACTAGAGTATAATGTCATTAAAACACTAGAGAATAATGTCATTAAAACACTACAGAAAATAATGTCATTAAAACACTAGAGTATAATTATCATTAAAACACTATAGAGTATAATGGCATTAGAACATTACAGAGAATAATGTCATTAAACACTAGATTATAATGTCATTAAAACACTACAGAGTATAATGTCATTAAAACACTACAGAAAATAATGTCATTAAAACACTAGAGTACAATGTCATTAAAACACTAGAGTATAATGTCATTAAAACACTAGAGAATAATGTCATTAAAACACTACAGAAAATAATGTCATTAAAACACTACAGAGTATTATGTCATTAAAACATTACAAAGAATAATGTTATTAAAACACTTGAGTGTAATTTCATTATCACACTACAATGAATAATGTCATTATAACACTACAGAGGATAATGTCATTAAAACACCACAGAGGATAATGTTATTAAAACACTTGAGTGTAATTTCATTATAACACTACAGTATGTCATTAAATTCTTTATTTTATGTCTTTACTGTGTGTGATGTTAACTTGCACATTTTTTCTACACACACACATATATATATATATGTATTATTGATTTCTACTGGAAGATTCCAAAGATCGTAAAAGTGTATGAATTGTATGATATGTTGAGAACTCGGCTCGTTGCGTCGATACAATCATGAACCAGAATCTTTTGTGTAATATTGTAAGTATTAACATCTACACTTCTCTAGCTTGTGGTGTCTGAAATGATATTAATTTGTGTTATAGCGTTATCGATTCTATCTTTCCATAGAAAATAACAGTCACAGTATCTAATAAAAACGTGTTTTGATCTTGCTCCAAGGTATATATGTTTTATCACTTATGGTGACAGTTAATGAGTTGTAAGAAATGATGACCTAGTTTTTCACACGAAGGAATAAGTCTAGCTAAACATCTGGCCTACAGTGTTCTTTGTAGATTTTTTATAAGGATTGTTGGTACTAGCATGGCTCAATGTTTATAAAGCAATGAAATGCCTTTACTGAAGACATGAACAGTCACGGCTGTCTGTGAAGACGATGACATCATTGGCTGTCTGTGAAGACAAGGACATCATTGGCTGTCTGTGAAGACAAGGACGTCATTGGCTGTCTGTGAAGACAAGGACGTCATTGGCTGTCTGTGAAGACAAGGACGCCATTGGCTGTCCGTGAAGACAAGGACATCATTGGCTGTCCGTGAAGACAAGGACATCTTTGGCTGTCTGTGAAGACGATGACATCATTGGCTGTCTGTGAAGACAAGGAAATCATTGGCTGTCTGTGAAGATGATAACTTCACGCGTGTCTGTGAAGACGATGATGTTCATGGCTGTCTGTGAAGACGATGACGGCCATTTGCTGTCTGTGAAGACGATGACATCATTGGCTGTCTGTGAAGACAAGGACATCATTGGCTGTCTGTGAAGACAAGGACGTCATTGGCTGTCTGTGAAGACAAGGACGTCATTGGCTGTCTGTGAAGACAAGGACGTCATTGGCTGTCTGTGAAGACAAGGACATTATTGGCTGTCTGTGAAGAAAAGGACATCATTGGCTGTCTGTGAAGACGATGATGTTCATGGCTGTCTATGAAGACGTTGACGCCCATGCCTGTCTGTGAAGACGACGATGTTCATGGCTGTCTATGAAGACGTTGACGCCCATGCCTGTCTGTGAAGACGATGATGTTCATGGATGTCTGTGAAGACGATGGCATTAAAGACTGTCTGTAAAGACGATGATGTTCATGGCTGTCTGTGAAGACGATGACGGCCATGCTTGTCTGTGAAGACGATGATGTGCATGGCTGTCTGTGAAGACGATGACGGCCATGCCTGCCTGTGAAGACGATGATGTTCACGCTGTCCGTGAAGACGATTACGGCCATGACTGTCCGTGAAGGCGAAGACGGCCATGACTGT